TTTTTGATTGGAAATTTTTTCCCAAAATTCGTCGTCGTGGCGCAGTAAGTTGCGGGATTAGGTGTCCTGCACTGTAGGAGAAAGAATTTCCCCAAGACCAGTGTGTTTATTCCTATTTAAGAAATTGTATTGTATTTGGATGTGATTGACAAATAATTATTATTATTGATTTATAATATGCATAAATTTTTTATTTATTATTATATATATCAAAAGGATTTAATTTAGTGGCAGATTACATATGCAAAAGTATCCCATTTCATGTTCTGGGTGGTTGTGCATCAGTAAGAAGCTATTATTGAATGTGGAAACAATCAGGTGGACTTTTTTAAATCCAAGGAATTCATCATCTTCAGCATTATCTTCCTTCTCAACTACCTCCTTCAAACGTGTTTGATATTATTCTCCTCCTCTGTTAATCAACAGCAATAAGAAACAGATTAATTTACTCTTTTCTGAAATTTGTATATTTCATCTCACTTTACGGAATGTTACACTGGCTCCACTATTATTATTATTACTATTATTATTGTTTTAATGTTATCCATAATTCTGAACATTTGGAAATATGCAATTCTAATTGGAAAAGGAATATATATGAGATTCAACGTATAAATATTTCTAACAAGCTTGGACTTATTCCTTCACTCAAACAAATAATTGTTCGCAACAACAAACACTATTTGGAATGTAATTTTTTTATTTGTCAATTTCTTAATAAATGTTCTGGTTTTGGGACAATTCTTGTTCTTAAATAAATTTTTGGTATCTGTTAAATTAACATCACAACTGTAACATCATCATATGTATAATGCTTTATAATATGTTTTATCTTCGTTTCCTTGCTCATTTCTTTTAATTACTTGCATAGTACACAGTGAATCTCGATTTGTCGGATAGTTTAGGCAATTAGGGAAAATTTTTCAAAAATCCATTAAACTGAGATATCTGCTATGTCAAGAAGGTTTTATTAATATTAAGGTTTATTATGGAACCATTCTTTGAATTTTATCCATAAAACCGAGATTTTTAATTATATCCACTTAATTGAGATTCACTGTATAGTGCAAGTCACTTAGTCCCACAACTTTCTGCACCACAGTGGCCAATTTTGAGAAAATTTTTCCAATCATAAATGCAATAAAAATTTTATGGTCATATGAATTTCAAAGATCATCACACACATTTATATGATTTATTAATTAGATAATATCATCCGGAAAATATAAAAAAATTTTACACGTGTCAATTGTAAGTTTAATAATAAAAAAGTGTAAAACTTACGTTGGCACTGTAAGATTTACACAATATTACGTCGGCATCGTAAGATTTATGCAAGTTTACGCTAAATTAATTTCCTGATGATATAGTTAAATTTAAAATGAAATTTTGACATTAGCAATAGGAAATAAAATGTATATATATACTTCCATAAAATATACTTTTGGTGCTAGGTTGGAGATAGCAGTATATTTTGCACATTCTTTGATCAATGCAATAATCTATTTATTAAATTAAAATAAATGAACTTAGCTGTTCTTTGTATTTTTTTAATAATAAAGATAATTAATTGACAATCTGCGAATAAATGAGAGAATTGTCGATCAATTTACTATTAAAAAATGAGGGAAATTTAATATATATTAATTTTGAAAAAAAAAATCTACAGGTGTTCATTACACCAAAATTTTTAGAATAAAAGAAAAACCATTGCAAGTTTTAAATCTTTATACATGTTTTGAACTACGTAACAAATTTTAACTTTGATATAAGTCTTGAATTTTTATACAAATTTTGAACTTATGCAAGTTTTGAATTTTTGACACTTTGACACAAGTTTAATTTTGA